GTGTGGAAAGGTAGGACTACAGCTGAATCTTACGAAGACAATGTTTATGAGAAACAGCCTTGTTCCTGACGCCCCATTCGCTCTCAATGGAACGACCATCTCCGAATGCAACAGCTATGTCTGCCTAGGTCGAGAGGTCAACATGACAAATGACCTGGCACCCGAGCTGCGCAGGAGGAAGAGAGCGGCTTGGAACGCCTTCAAGAACGTCGAAGAAATAGCTAAGAGGACCAAGAACCTCCGGCTCCGGGCACATCTCTTTGATTCCACTGTTCTTCCTGCATTAACATATGCCTCAGAGACCTGGGCCCTACGCAAACAGGATGAGAATGTTATTCAGGTCTCCCAAAGAAGAATAGAAAGAGCTATGCTTGGAATATCACGTTTCACTCAAATGAGAGAACGAATCCGGAGTTCTGACATCCGTCGACGATCAAGGATCAGGGACGCTGTCTCATTTGCCAAGGTGTCGAAAATCAGATGGGCTGGTCACGTAATGAGATTTAAAGACGACCATTGGACTAGAGCTGTTACTGATTGGATTCCACGGGATGTCAAGAGACCGCGTGGCCGCCCACCTACCAGATGGTCAGACTTCTTTGTCAAGGTCATGAACGATCGGTTTGAGGCCCTCCATGTTCCCGGAGCGAAGAGATGCCATTGGGCTACACTAGCACGCGACAGGGACAAATGGAGACGTTACTGGCGCCCGCTCGAGCAAATCGACGACTAACGGGAAGTTAAGTGATAAGTGATAAGTGAGATAGACCCTTACAAAGCTGTGGCAGGAATAGTTCTTGAGTGCAGAGCAAGGAGTAAGCCCTGATCACTGCCAGGTGTGGTCCAAAACAAAATGAAGTCTCATTGCGTAATTTTATTTATAATTGTGGGGTGGAGCGACAGCACAGCGGGCAGGGTGTTTGCCTTGCAAGCGGCCAACATGGCCGACCCAAGTTCGATTCCTCCGCCCCTCTTGGAGATCCCAGGAAGCTACCAAGAGTATCTCGCCCACACGGCAAAGCCTGGCAAGCTAACCGTGACGTATTCAATATGCCAAACACAGTAACAGGTGTCACAATGGAGATGTTACTGGGCCCACTCGAGCAAATCGATGAACAATGGGAGGACAGTGACAGTGATTTATAATTGGATTTTATTTTGCGGTTTCAGGCCACACCCAGTGCTACTTATGGGCTATTCCTTTTTTTTTTTTCTTTTTTGGGTCACACCCGGCGATGCAGGGGTCACTCCTGGCTCATGCACTCAGGAATTACTCCTAGCGGTGCTCGGGGAACCATATGGGATGCTGGGAATTGAACCCGGGTTGGTCGCATGCAAGGCAAATGCCCTACCCCCTGTACTATGGCTCCAGCCCCCATTATGGGCTAGATAGCACAGCAGGTAGGGCATTTGCCTTGCACACAGCCGACTCGGGTTCGATACCTGCGCCCCTCTCGGAGAGCCCGGCAAGCTACCGAGAGTATCCCGCCCGCATGGCAGAGCCTGGCAAGCTCCCCGTGGCATATTCGATATGCCAAAAACAGTAACAACAATTCTCATAATGGAGACATTACTGGTGCCCACTTGAGCAAATCGACGAACAATGGGAGGATAGTGCCACAGTGCTCGTGTGGTGTGGTGCTGGGAAATTGAAGCAGGGTCAACTTCAAGCAAGGCAAGTGCCTTCACCCCTGTACTATTTCTCCAGTTCTATCAGCATGTCATCATAGAGAAAAATGAACAAAAGGACACAAATACTTTTTCCTTCATTTTAGTTTGTTTTGTTTTTTTTTTTTTGCTTTTCGGGCCACACCCAGCGGTGCTCAGGGGTTCCTCCTGGTTCGGCACTCAGGAATTACTCTTGGCAGTGCTTGGGAGACCCTATGGAATGCCGGGGACTGAACTCGGGTCAGCCGTGTGCAAGGCGAACGCCCTACCCGCTGTATTATCACTCCAACCCCTTTTCATCATTTTAGGAATATACCAGGGCTAACTTAATCAATACTCTAGGTGTCTTCAAGGACATCTAGTTTCTTTCCAATTTTCATTAGCACCAATGCTGTCATAAAGTGGTAACTCTTCATTGTTGAGAGGTCATGTCAAATCCTTTGTGTGCAATATGACATTTATAGTTTCTAGTTAAAAATTTTTACTTCTGTATGAAACAAATCATAGGAGAGGAAAATATACCAAGTCAAAAGCACTGTGAAGTCCGTCCCTCTCGGAGAGCCCGGCAAGCTACCGAGAGTATTCGATATGCCAGACACAGTAACAACAAAGTCTCCAATGGAGACGTTACTGGGCCCGTCGAGCAAATCGACGATCAACGGGAGGGCCTTTACCTTTTACCTTTACCTATAGGGGAATATCTGGCCCTAGAACCGCATTTCTCCAACAATTTCAGATTTTTCTTTAAGCCTCAAGTTCCAACACAAGGTTCCCCAAGCACTGCTGAAAGCGACCCTTGAGGCCTGATATGGAAGCAGCCCCCATCCACCACCAGGAGTGGCCCAAACCCCATCTCCCACCAAAAATTAACAATTCACTCGGTAAAATCTTGTTTGGGGGCCACATCAACCAGTGCTCAGGGCTTATTCCTGGGTCTGCACTCCGGAATTACTCCTGGCAAGGTTTAGGGAATCATAATCATAATGGGGGACCAGTGATTGAACCCAGGGAAGCTGCATGCAAGGCAAGTATCTTACTCACTGTACTATCTTGCCAGAACCTCCGATTTATTTTATTTTTAATTTCTTTATTACTTCATCATAAGTTTACAATTCTGTAAAATTACAGGAGTTCAGTTTGCCAACTCTAAGTTTCCAGTACAGAAACTTAAGAGTTTTGACTGGCATTACTGATAATACTTCGGATCCTTATGGAATAAAGTGGGCTGGAGCAATAGCACAGTGGCTAGGGCATTTGCCTTGACACAGCCGACATGGCCGACCCGAGTTCGATTCCTCCGCCTCTCTCCGAGAGCCTGGCAAGCTCCCTGTGACGTATTCGATAGGCCAAACGCAGTAACAAGTCTCACAATGGAGACGTTACTGGGCCCGCTCGACCAAATCGATGAACAACGGGAGGACCGTGACAGTGACAGTGATGGAATAAAGTAAAATTTAAAAAGAAAAATTAAGTCAGTTGACTGAAGAAGGAAAAGCTGCTAATAATCGAAATCAGAAGTAATTTTTTGAGTACCCAGAAAGTGTAAGATTGAAATTTGTCCTGGGAGGTGGTGAGGTAGCAGGAGAGTTAAGGAACTAGACTTGCTGCTGCCAACTTTGAACTGATTCCAATGCCACACAGTCCTTTGAGCCCTGCCGGGAGTCAGCCCTGAGCACTGCCAGATGTTGCCCCCCCCCCCCCAAAAAAAACAACAAAGAAACAAATAAAAAATTACAGGTAAGAATTTCCCAGAGTTGAGGAATGCTAGCACAGAGATCCAAGAGACCAGAAGGGTCACAGCTGAAATAGACTCAAACAGAAAATTCTAAGAGAGGGGTCTGGGAAATAGTACAACAGGTAGGATGTTGTACAATATAGTATTTCCTAATTTAAAGTCAATATTCCCTTTTAGGATAAAACGCACTTTTATCCTTTTATAAGCTTATTTATATATCTTCCCTTAAAATTCTTGGCTGAAGAAATAGCACAGCGGATAGGGCACTTGCCTTGCATGCAATGACAATGGACTCGGTTAGATTACCCAGCAACCAGGGTCCTCCCGGTCCACAACCTGCCAGGAACAAGTCAGGAATAAACTCTCAGCACTACAGGGTGTGGCCCCAAAACAGAAACAAACAAACAAAAAAAAACAACTCTCTTATATGTGGGATATAAAGAAACATCGTAAGGAAACAACAAATAGCCAAAATTACGGGACCTGTAGATTTTTGTCAACAGAACTGGAATTACATGAGTGCATGGCTGAAAGTGCCCAGAAGACACTGGGTGGGGGTAGGTGGGCTCTCTGTTGATGGGTGTGGTGTTTAGGATGATGTATGCATAAAAAATATAATTAACAGCATTGCAAATCCTGGCATCTCAATTAAAAAAAATGGCAAAAAAAAATCGGGCCAAAATGACTGGTAAGTTCTGATTCACCAATACAAACTAAAAAAAAAAAAAAAAAAAAAAAAAATCAATGAGGAATGCTGAGGAATAGAGTATAGGGCTGACATTTTTGGAAGTTTTTGTTTCGGGAGCACACTCGGTAGCAACCTAGCTACTGCTCAGCCCCGGAAGCTAAGTTTTTTGTGGGGGTCACACCCTGCGGTGCTCAGAGGTTGCCCCTAGCTCTGTGCTCAGGGGACCGACCCTATGGGGAGCCGGACGGAGCCCGGGCCAGCTGCGTGCAAGCGCCGCCTCTCTTGGGCCGCCTCCCCGGGCCCCGGGGACTGACGATCTTAAACTGGTCCAGCTGGAGCGTGGGTGGGGAATGACTGGGTCGAAGACCAACACCCTGATCTAGGCGGCGACGCGGGTCACCCACCGGGAGGCCGGCTACGGGCTAAGAAAGAGACAGCGCGGTTTGGGGGTGAGCCTAAGGTTCAGGGGAGAGGGTTGCAGGAACCCGGCCTGGAATTAAAGAGGGGGCTAAGCTGAAGAGACGTGTGGGGGTCAACAAGCATGCACGAGGGGCTGGAGTGATAGCACAGCGGGTAGGGCATTTGCCTTGCATGCAACCGACCGGGGTTCGATTCCCAGCATCCCATAGGGTCCCCCGAGCACCGCCAGGAGTGATTCCTGAGTGCAGAGCCAGGAGGAACCCCTGAGTATTGCCAGGTGTGACCCAAAAAGCCAAAAAACAAAAAAAAAACCAAGTGCACGAGTCCGCCACGAGTGGATAACAGAGCCACCTGGGGGGCATCCTCCCGGGCCGGGGCCTCGTGACTCCGCCCAGCCCACTAGCCCCGCCCACAGGAGGCAAGGGGCGGTCCAGGCGCCCGCTCGCAGGGCATCTTGGGAGCGGAAGTCCGGAGTCCCTTCCGGCCAGGCATGCCGGGAGTTGTAGTTCAGGGCGGGTCTCGCGTTCCTCCCGCGTGGCCTCAGCCTGGAGTCACTTGAAAGGCGCGTCCAGAAAGCGGTGATGCTCTCGGGGCAGGGTGCCCCTCCGGCGACGGCACCGCGCGCCCCGGGCCGTCTCCCCTCTCCGCAGGGCGTGGCATCTCCACGCCTCCACGATCTGCTCCACCTGCCGGGGAAGGACCGCACCGAGTCCCGCAGTGCCCCCGGCGGCGCCTCCCTCCCCTCGACCCCCTCCCCCACCCCACCCCACCCAGCGACTGGGTGGCCTCCGACCGGTCCCCTCCGTCCGCACCGGGATGAGCGGCTCCCGCCGGTTCTGCTCTTCCAGGGCGCTCAGCTCCGCCGGGGCCAGCAAGGCCAGTCTCAGCTCCCGCACCACCGGCGCCGCCACCTCGGCCACAGGCCGCTCCAGCACCGCCTGCGGGAACGTGCAGCCTCCCTCGGGATGCGGGGTTCCCGCGGCCCGAGCGCCCACCCAGCCCCCGGGGGCTCCCCCCACTCACCGCGCCCACGCGCGCCCAGCTTCGCGCGGCCAGGACCAGCTCAGGCTCGTCCACGCCGAGCCTGTCGCTGCGCAGCAGCAGAAGCAGCGCGGGCGCCGACAGCTCCAGGAAGCCCCGCGTGCGGAGCACCTCCTGCGGGCCAGGGCCCCAGAGGGTCAAAGAGTGGACCTGGGTTCAGTCCCCGGCACCCCATAGGGTCCCCCAAGCACCGCCAGGAGTGATTCCCGAGTGCAGAGCCAGGAATTATACCCCTGAGCATCGCTGGGTGTGACCCAAAATGCAAAAAAAAAAAACCAAAAAAAAGGGTGGACGGGAAGGCGGGGGTTAGGGCATGGATTTTGAGGGCTGTACCTGGCTGTGGGCCTCTATGAAAGCCATGCAACGCCCCTGCAGGGGACCCAGGCCAAAGGTCACAGCAACCTGAGAGCAGAATGAGGCAGAGTCACGTTGGAGGCTGAAGCCACATAACCCACACCCGGGAACTCTGTCCAGAAGCTCCCACCTGCAAGGCCTCACACACCAGCTCCACGTCCAGCACCTTCCCCACAAACTCCAGGCACAGCTGGAACAGAAAGGGACATGGGGTGGGGGTGGGGGGGGCGCTCTGCTCCTGCCCCAGCCCAGAAGCAGTGAGCATGACAAGTCCCTAGGAATCCCATGCCTGGTGATCCAGAGAGACCTTCAGCCTCATTTCTCCTCTCACAGTCATAGGAAGCCTACTTCATCACTAGAATGCCAGTGACCTACTCGTCACTAGAATGCCAGTTCCTCTTCCTCCCAGTTCTAACTGATTCAGCGCAAATGTTTCCTCTTCCAGGAAGTCTTTATCTCCTCTCTCTGGTGGCAGGACTCTTGAGACACTATAGATAGTCTCAGTTCCATCTGTCATATCTGCCGTACTTGGGGGGAGGGGTTTGGTGTATGGCTATCCTATACCCTGACTATACTTAGGGCTGACTCCTGATTCTGCACTCAGAGCTTTCTCTTTTTTGGAGGTTGGAGGGTCACAGTCGGTGGTGCTCAGAGAACTTCCCTGGCCCTGCACTCAGAAATCACTCCTGGCGGTGCTTGGGGGCCATATGGGATGCTGGGAATTGAACCCAGGTTGACCACGTTCAAGGTGAGATCCCTATCTGCTATACTGTCTCGCCAACCACCCAGGGATTATTCTCGGTGGGGCTCACGGTATTACATGTGATACTGGGGATAAAATCCAGTCGGCTACACGTTACACTGTTTCTCTGGCCCCCTGTCATACCTCTTAAACCACTTAATCCCTCTCTTTGAAGAAGAGGCTGGCCTGGCCTGTGTGTCTGGCACCAGCCCCACTCTGTCCACTCCCCGGTGCATATAGAACACAGGCAAAGGACGTTTACAGTCCAGAGAGCCACCCAGACTTCCCAGCATCTCCACAGGTGCCTCCATGCCAGATAGGATGCGAGCCAGGCGCACAGAGGCCAGGGAAATGCGACAGGCTGGCAGCAAACCCACCTCTCGAAGCTCCTCCAGTCCATATTCCACAGCAGCAGTCAGCACCTCCAGCACCTATAGAGTGGGTGTTGGGGGGAGTGGAAGGGAGTTTCCCCTGCCCCTCAGTCCACCCCCACCTCTCCCACCCCGGCCCTGCCCAGTGGGCTCACAGAGTTGCGGTGCAGCTGGACACTGTTAGTATAGAGAAACTCCAGCACTGCTAGGAAGGCCTCAGCTGGCACAGTGCTCAGCACCAGGGGGCTAGGGACCCTGGTATCCAGAAGTCGCTGGAAGAAGTTGCATCTACAGGCCAGTAGGCACCGGTGGGCAAACACTTCCTGCCGTTCCTGACCAACCACAAACCGGACATCACTGCACAAGAGACAGAAAGTGAGGAGAGAAGAGGCCAGAGTGGAGTGTGCCAGAAACGGTCCACCTTGGCCTGCTGCGGGCCTTATCTGTCTTAAAAGAGACCCGGTCTTGGGGCTGGAGATATACCACAACAAGTAGGGTGCTTGCTTTGCATTTGATCCAACCCCAGATGTTCCCCTGAGCACTACCAGGATCCCTTAGTGCAGAGCCAGGGGTGACCCCGGAGCATTGCTGGGTGCGTCCCCCCATCAAAAAAGAGAGAGAGACTGAGACAGAAGGACACAGATACAGAGAGAGAGAGAGAGAAAGAGAGAGAGAGAGAGAGAGAGAGAGAGAGAGAGAGAGAGAGAGAGAGAGACCAGGCCTAGTCCTTCCAACTCAAGATCTGAGTGATACCAGGGTCTAAATTCTAGTCCCAGCTCTGCCCAGCTCCGCAGTGGTTAGGCCAATGAATTCCTACCCAAATCTCAGGTTTCTCACAGGGAAATGGGATAGTTATCTCAAATCCTCCAGTCTAGGAGGAGGCCGCCCTGCCTGATTGCTGGGAAAGGCACCAGGGCCAAAACTAGCTGATCCCATCTACCCTCTGGCCCATCTATCCTCTGCCCCAGGGTCCGAGTCTTGGGGGAAGGAAAGATCTTTGGGCTCATCCACAGACTGCCAACTCAGCTTTTTCCAGCATCCTCCAGATTGGAGTGGGTGCAGGATGCTTTATCTTGAAGCCAGACCACATTTTCCATTTTCATGAGAACTTCCGACCCCAGTTTCTGGGCCTCAGAACAAGGTAGGGAGTAGGAGGCAGGAGACGAAGCCTGAACTATTCGGAACCTCCTAGTGCCAGGTGCAGGACCTGGGGTGTCATGTCCAGGTGGACCGGCTACCAAAGGCAAGAGTCTGAGAGGCAGGACCCCTGGGGGAGAAGCCCAACTCCTAGCAGAGGGCCAGGAAGCTGCATTCTGGTGCCCTGGCAGCCCTGCCCCCTCCTCTGTCTGGTTTCAGATAGCACCAGCATCGTGAGCAGGCTACCCCCTTGGCTGCTTCCTGTCTGAGACTCTGACTCAATCATTCGAGCTTTGTTCCTCTTGTGAATCCCCAGGTCTCGAAACGGGGTCATCTGTTCCTCTGCCTCCCCCAAAGAGCTCCATCCTCGCTCTCAGGATCCAGTGGGCACGGGGCTGTTTTCCGTCCGGAGCCCCAGACACAAGCCTACCTGTATGTCCTCTGTCCTCAGTCCTCTGTCCTGCCTCGGGCCATAGGATATCATGGACACTGAGGGTGGGTGGCCCCCGCTCTCCACTTGACTTCCCCAAGGTCAGGAGGTTTGAGCCCAAACTCCCCCACCCAGTACCCTGGGCTTCCTCAGAGTCATAGGACGCTGGGGAAGAAGCCAGGGGAAACCCAGGCCCGCCCCCTCACCTGTAGAGGGGGTTGTTGATAAGGCTTCTGAGCGCTGCTGAGAAAGGTGCAGCCTCTCCATGCACGGCCAATCCCGAGGTCTCCATGGGCAGGTGGGCTGGGGGAACAAGTGGAACAGCCCAGAAGGTCTGTCTGTCGGTAGGTGTGAAGAAGCAGGAGGCCTGGCCGGGCCCTGGAGCAGGGAAGGAGACTGGGAAAGGCCTGAGAGGGAGGAGCAGGAGCTTCAGAGGCCCATTTGCCGGAGAGTCAAGTTTTAGGGATGCGGCAGAAGAGGTCCAAGTGCTACCGAAACATCAGAAACCAGCGGAGGAGGCTGGAGTGGGGATGAGAGAAGGAGGACAGGCTGGAGGAGGGGGCGAGAGGCTGACTCGGAGCTGGCCGGGACGAGAGGCTGGTGGCTGGCAGCTGCTGAGCCCCAGCTGGGAGCCTGCCCAGGCAACACCCGGGTGGGGAGCCTGTGGGTTTCCACGGAAACTGCAGAGAGGCCTTGAGGAGGCCCCGCCTATCCCCCACAGGCCTGGGGAAAGCTCGGGCTCCCAAAGAAGCCCCAAGCGGTGCAGAGGGTCTCAGCACCTTGGTTCCTACATGCCCCGGCTTCACGGTTTACTCCTGCCCCTCCTGGTCCACCCCCCCATAGGCACACAGGGGGGCTTGGGCGAGCCAAGCCTGGGAACTTCCTTTCAGCAGGAAGTCTTCACCCCCAGGGACGGTTTCCAGGGCCCAAAGCCCAGGTGTCTGGGAGCTGACCGTCCCCCAGATGGAAGTCAGATGAGAAGGTGTCAGAGTCTGAAGGGGTGTCATGGCCTCTGGCATTCCTGCAATGCAAGCTCCCTGGGGGAGGGGACAATCTGGGCACACAGGGTGTGGCATGCTGGGGACAAGTTCCAGGACACTGGGGTCAGGAAGCTGGATTGGGTTGGCCTGGCCGTGAATATTGCATCAGATCTGCACCGCCGCCCCCCCCACCCCCCAAGTAGGGGTGTCCTTCCACCCTTCCCCTCCACACTGCCCAGAGCTGAGGAAGTCATCCAAGCCCCACCTAGTCTGCTCAGGGAGCGGAAATGTTTGTCCTTGTTGAGACTGATGAGGAGAAGATAGAGCCATGACGTGTGCTCCTTCCTGTGGGCTGGACCCTAATTCCCGAGCAGCTGCCCCCACGATCTCAAAGTCTTCCCATGCCCAGGGCCTCTGCAATTTGCTCACTGGAGGAAGGGCCAGTCTTTACAGGGAAGGAACGGCTGGTGGCTGGGTGGGCAGGGGACCCCTTTCTGGACGAGAGTCCCCCTTTACCACTGTGCCGTCACCCCAGGCACCCTTCACTCAGCACGCGTTCAAACGCAGAGCAGGACTGAATGGACGGACGGGGAGGAGGGAGGAGAGCTTGCCTAGCAACCCATGGCAACCCCACAACACAGGCAAGGGGCCTGAACTTCCCACCTACCAGTCAGGCAGGCCAGGCCAGAGCCTTGGAGAGTGCTGGGAGGCCAAAGGCCGACAATGACTCAGGGGCCTCGGGGAGTTTCGGGAGAAGAAGCTGATCCCCTGATTCTGGAGGTACAGCCGGAGGCCAAAAGCCAGGGGTGGAAGAAGCTTCGTGAGTCACCAGCCTCAGCCAGTTGTGGGGAAAATTTGTGCCAACCACCCAGGAAGTAGGTAGAAGGGAAGATGACTGGGTTCAGTACCCACAGGGTTGCAGGCTCTGAGTCTGTTTCCTGGCAGGAAGGAGATAGAGACGCACTGTCCGACTCAGGGCAGAGGCCTCCCTCTTCTGCTGAAGCCAGGTGGGGAGAAACAGAAGTGTTTATTAATTCCTAATTTTGCGGTGCCAGGGATTAAACCCAAGGCCTGGCTCGCTCATGCGAGACAAATGCTCTACCGCCGAGCGGCACGGCCTGCCCTGGGAGTTTCTAGAGCTCACAATAACGGATTTTATGGTGCCAGGAGAAAGTTCGCAAGTGGGCACGGCCCTGGAGATGATGGCCTAATCAGGATCTCTTCCCTTATATGCTAACAGCCCTTCACCTTCTGAGAAGGCGCCTGATCCCAGTCTGTCTGATTCACCTGTCCCCCAAACACAGGTAAGAAGACGGTGAGCGGGGCAAAACCCTTCTCAAGAGGAAGGGGGTGATGTGCTAAGATGGCCAGTGGCGCCCTACTGGTCAAGTGTGGGTCTTCCAGTCGCAGGTCCATGGCTGGCAGGCCCCCAGGACGCCAGGAGGAGGAGGAGGCTTCCAAAGACCCAGGGCTCAAACGGTCGGGGGCACGGCCCCCGGGCCACCTGCAGAGCACCGACGGAGCCCGGCCTGCTGGCCCTGGCCCGGCCTCCCGCCGAGGCTCCGTGCTGGGCGCAGCGGCCTCCTTTTCCCGCCGCAACTCGCTGGCCGGGCCAGGCCCAGGAGCAGGAGGTCGGCGACCATCCCTGGGTCCGGTGCCTCCGCTCAGCTCAAGGATCAGCTTCTCGGGGCTGCCCCTGGCACCCGTGCGCCGGGTGGCACCGTCGTACCGCATGGAGCCGGCGCCGGGGGAGCGCTGGGACGCTGCCCGCGCCCAGCGCGCCCTGGAAGCGGCCCTGGCCTGGGGGCTGCGTGACGCCTGCTACTCGGGGACCGAGGCGGGGGTCCTGGCCCGCGAGCTGTGCGAGCAGGTGCGGGTGCGCCTGCGGGAGCTCAGCCCACCGCGCTACAAGCTGGTGTGCAGCGTGGTGCTGGGGCCGCGGGCCGGCCAGGGCGTGCATGTGGTCAGCCGCGCGCTCTGGGACCCAGCGAGCGATGGGCTGGCCTCCGCCTCCTTCACAAACCCCACACTCTTCGCCGTGGCCACCGTGCACGGGCTCTACTGCGAGTGAGCAGGCCTTCGGCTTCTGCAAAAAAACCGGTTTATTATCCCAGGAGGAGGCCCTTCCTGGGGCTCACATCCCAATAAATAATAAATGTCTGTCAATAAATAAAAGTGGTCCATAAATAGCGCCCCCGAGCTGGGGGCTAAGGCTCAGGCTTGGAGTAGGGCCGAGCGGCGCCGAGGGGACAGACCGCCGCCTCCAACCCCAGTAAAGCTGGTCCCTGTTTCCCTGGGGGATGCGGCCCAAGGCCCCAGGGATGCACCGAAGGGACAGGGAGAGTCACGAGAGTCTTCCAGCCAGAGGCCAGCGGGTTCTGCGGACTGGGGTTAGGCCGGGCAGCGGTCCCGTAGCAGCCGCAGAGCATAGCGGAGACGCTGGCGAAGGTCCGGGGAGCAGCCCAGCAGCCGGAGGTGGGAGGCGAGGTAAGTACAAGCGCTGCGATTTCGGGCCACGAAAGTCACGAGGAGGGGCTCCCAGCCACTGAGGATCAGCTTGGTGTGGTCCCCGTAGAAGTTCACCTGTGCCAGGGAGGGAAGCGGCCCTCAGGACGCAGGCTCCAGGTTCTTCCCAAGACCTTCCCCACAATGCCACCACGTCCTACCTGGACGGTGCCGTCACTGAACAGCATGAGCAGCGCCTGATCGGTCTTGACCCACTGCAGCAGGAGCGGGGGCACCGGTGCCTCCACTTCTTCCACACTGGGCAGATCTCCACCCTGCGGGAGGGAGGGAGGGAGGGAGGGAGGGAGGGGCGGGTCATTTGTCCGAGGGTCAGGACTGTCCTTGTGCGTCTCCACCATTCCGCCTCGAGCGCTGAGCCCGCTAGCCATGAGCCCTCCCTCCCTCCCCGAACAAGGTGACTCGGAAGGGATCAGATGCTTCTGTGTCCCCACTCCGGTCCCCCCCAGTCCACGCACCTTCATGAGGCGCTGCTCCATGTAGGAGGCAAAATACCGCAGGACGCTCAGCTGCGGCTGCAGGGCCCGGGGCACAGCTCCCACAGAGAAGGAGAAATGCTTCGTACTGGTGGGGTTGTAGTGCACGGTCCTGGAGTGGGCAAGGCGGCGGTCAGAGGGCGCCGGGCACGGACGAGACCACAGGAGCCCAGGTGCCCTCTCACCCACCGACTTACTTCCTGTTGGCCGACAGCGCCATGTGCGTGCCGTTGTTGAAAAGCACGGCCACTCGGCGGCTGGACAGCTGATAGCCGAAGCCAAACTTGTTGGAGTAGTCAACCCACTTGCTGACCCACACCAGCGGCTCTGGCTGTGCCAAGGGAGCGGGGTTCTGTTCGGCTGGCATGGGAGAGGGAGGGTGAGGAGCTGACCTCTGAGCCAGTGCCCGCCCACGGCGTTCCCAGATGCAAGACGTCAGCTTTACCTGGGGGCATGAAGGCCAGGCAGTTCCTCAGAGCGCAGAGGGCAGACTCCACCACCGTGGCCACCGTCAGGCCTTCCTCAAACCCTGAAAGGAACAGGACACTGGGAATTGGGCCCGGATTCCCCCCAGCGCAGGCCGTGTGGGCTCGGCCCTACGGTGGTCCAGCACCCCTCCTTGTGAGGCTCACCATCGCCACTGCTCGCCAGCGTCCCCCGGGGGGAGCTGTCCTCGGGCGCGGTCTCTACCAGGCTGGGAGGCGCGGGGCCCGAAGCCGCGGGCGCCTGGAGGGTGGGTACAAGGAAGGAGTGAGAAGGGCCCTGAAATCCCAGGCCTGGAGTGCGGGGCCCTCCCGGGGCACCTCAGGTCAGCCCGCCTGGCTAATGAGACACCAGCCAATTAGACAACCACGAGGCTAGATGCTTCACCAGTCTCTTTCATCCCTGCTTCCCGCAGCTGCTGGGGTGGGGTGAGTCAGGGAAGCCCTGCCCACGTGAGCGCTCACCTCAGGCCTGGCATCCTGCTGGCTGATGGACGCCCGTGTGAGGCCATTCACCAAGCAGGAGATCTCGTCCCGCTCCTCGGGTGGGTTCTTATCTGAGGGGGAGGGGGCGGGCAGAGGGGAGTTGGGGGGCAGAACAGCCCTCAGCATGCGGCCCAGCTTCTGCTCCCCACACTGTCCACTGTCCTCCCGTTGTTCATCGATTTGCTCGAGCGGGCCCAGTAACGTCTCCATTGTGAGATTTCTTGTTACTGTGTTTGGCATATTGAATACTCTCAGTAGCTTGCCAGGCTCTCCAAGAGGAGCGGAGGAATCGAACCCGGCTCGGCCGGGCTGGCTGCACGCAAGGCAAACGCCCAAAATCCTTTATCAAATGCCTTGGTTTCTGCTCCCCACAGGAATAATAAAGATGAGAAATCCAAGTGCCCATGTCACTCACACCCACTCTCCCAGGGGTTCACAGGTGCCCGGGCCCACGCCCCGTACAGTGCAGCCAGGCCCCTGACACTCTGTACCCTGAAATGATACCCCAGACTCACTCTTGTTCTTCTTCCTGCCAAAGAGGCTCTTGGTAACTTTGACAAACAGAATCTTAGCTGGGTTAAGGGGCATCAGGTCTGGAACCGTCACGCAGCTGCTGACAGGGAGCCGGTCGGGGGTGTAGCCCTGAGGAGGGAGCCACGTGAGCCAAGACTTCTTGCTGCCCCGTTCACCCGCACAGGGATACACAGGCGGGACGTCAGGGGAGTCACAGACCTTGGTGAAGAAGTCATGGCGCAGGATCTGGTCGATCGAGGGGCGGTCTTGGGGCGAGGCGCGAAGGATGGAGGCCAGGAGCTGCCGGGCAGGCAGTGAGAGGCTGGCGGGCAGTGTGTAGTGCACCTGCTTGATGCAGCGGTACGTCTCCTTCAGGTCAACGGTCTCAAACGGGGGGCTCCCACAGAGCAGCGTGTACCTGGAGGCCGAAGCAGGAGTCAGGAGTGGAAGGGTCACCCCCCGAGGGACCCACCCATCCACGCAGAGGATGCTGGGACTCACATGACGCATCCCAGGGACCACACATCTGCCTCGGGGCCATGGCCTTGTCTCTGCAGCACTTCCGGAGCCACATAGTTGGGGGTACCACAGATGGTCCTGCCGAGGCGGGGGAGGGGGAGGGGCCAGGGGCAGGTCCAGACCCAGTCTTGCTAGCCCCATCCCTACCCCCACTGTGAGTTCAGACAAAGCAGCTGCCTGTCACCAAAGGCCTGAGAACTCCAGCTTGTCCTAAGACAATAGACGCTGGGCTGGCAGCTGAGTCTCCGCCCCCCCCCTTCCCCTCCGACCCAGCTGCTCAGCTGCTCAAGGCCTAGAGAGAGGCCCGACCCCTCCCCGCACTCTCCTCCGGGGGTCAGTGCACCCTGGATCCCCGCCTCTGCCTGCCAGACTTCCAAACAGACTGTCACCTCCCCTGGTTGGTGCCACACACATGGCAACACCAGCTGCCGCATCTCCCCAAAACCTCATCTGCCACACATGCTGTGTCACTCACACCTCGCACATCTTACTGACATGGGGCCTCACGCTCTGCCACTCCCACTGTCAGCCTCAAACACACTGCTTCTGTTGCCCACCCCTGTCCCCACAGAGGGCCAGCAAGACTACCTAGCCACCTACACACACACACACACACACACACACACAAAACCGTCATGCCTTCCCTGTCTATTACAGTGCACATACACACACCCCCAACCTTCATGCCTTCCCCATCTATTAGACACACACACACACACACACACACACACACACACACAGCCTCATGCCATCCCATCTATCACAGGCACACAGGAGGCGGCAGTCATGCCCTCCCACACATTCTGTCATACACATCATCTGTGTCACACAGACTGTGGCCACCCCCACCCCCCACCCCGAAACACTCACTTCTTCCTATGCTCCGGGGGTTCCAACCGGGTCGCCAGTCCAAAATCTCCCATCTTCAGTTCCATGTTCTCGGTGATAAAAAAATTGCCTGGGTGGGGGAGGCGGGAGGGAGCTGTGTCAAACTGCTTTCTCTCTGCCTCCCACACCCCCATCCCCTGCCCGCCCTCCCTCTGCCTGTTACACCCCCAAACGGTGCTGCAGGCACCGAGGCTCACCCAGCTTGAGGTCCCTGTGCAGGATGCCACGCTGGTGCAGGTACTTGAGTCCGGAAAGGATCTGCCGCAGGTAGTACCGCACCTCTGGCTCTAGCAAGGTGTGCCGAGCCTTCCAGATGTGGGCCAGGGACTGCGGGGAGCCACAGCCTCAGCCCCTGTGCGGCCTGGCCCGGCCGGCCCAGGCCTCCCCAGGATCTGAGAAAGCCAGCCCCGGGCCGGCTCCAGCTCCAGCTCCCGCGCCTCCGCCCCTCCCTCACCTTTCGGCTGCAGAGCTCCAGGAAAATGTAGATGTTGTCCGCATCCTCGAAGTGATGCGAGAATCGCACGATGTGGCGGTGCTGCAGGTCGCGGTGCAGCTCGATCTCGTTCAGAATCTGCGGGGAGGCGGGTATGAGGACGGAGGGGCGGGGGCGGGGGGCACCGGGCCGTCATCTGTCACGGGCTCCCGTGTCACCGTCCCCAGCCCACCCCGCATCCCCGGAGCCCGGGCCCCCGGGAGGCACCTTCTCCCGCTGATGCGGCTTGGTGATGCGGCTCTGCGAGATGACTTTGACGGCGTAGGCGCTGCCAGTCTCCGTGTCGGTGGCCTCGTAGCAGCGGGCGAAGCCTCCCTGCGAGGAGGGGGCGTCAGGCAAGGGGGCTCTGGTCGATGTCCCCACCCCGGAGGGGAGGGGAGCGCTCCGGCCCCGCTCCGCAGGAGTCCGGGCGCCGCGCACCACCAGCGCCCCTTGCCCGGCCCTCCCGGCGCCCGGGAGGAGGCCGGCGGCGGGACCCCCGGGGGTCCCCTTCCTACCTTGCCCAGCAGACGACCTTTGAAGTAGGTCCGGCCGCTGCGCGGGTCCGTGATGAGACGCGCGGGGTCGGGCGCGGGCGGCGGCGGCGGCGGCGGCCCCGCCAGCATCTCGCCGCGCTCGGGTCCCGGCCCGGCACCCTGGGGCGGCGGCCCGGGCCCGGCGGGAGGGGCGGGCGGGGCGGCGGCACGCGGGCACGGCCGCGGGGACAGGAAGCGGGCGGCGGGCTCCATGCAGGCGGCGGGGCGTCGCAGCGCCCGCCCGGCGCTCGGTCTCCGTTCCGCCCGGGCCGGCGCGCGTGGCGCTGCCAGGAC